TGTGTGTGTGTGTGTGTGTGTGTGTGTGTGTGTGTGTGTGTGTGTGTGTGTGTGTGTCCGGATTAGCGGACACTTAGAACATCACAAAACACTTGGCTGATGTTTTGTGTTAAAAATAAAAGCAGCTTACAGCTTTTATTTCTATTTTTTAAGGAACCATTCAGTCATAAGAACTGCAGTTTTAAAACAGAAACCTGCTTCATTTTACTTTACTTTCTTCAGAATTTGGAAAGGCTCAAATAAACATGACCCTTTACGCACAGGACATTTTRCGCACATTTTACGCACAAATCAGAACAATAACAAATGTCTCTGAGAATAACTGGACCTTGTAGAGAACTTGCTTGATCATTCATCATTTCACAGAAGAGRCAGGCCCGTGCGTGTGTGTGCGCGCGCATGTACTACAGAGTGAGGACCACTTGTATAGTAGTACTATCAAAGTGAGGTATTTGATGTAAAGTGAGGACCTTGTCGCTTTATTTGCAGCTCTTCTGCGCTTATAGACCAGTAATGGTTAGTTTTAGGGAAAATGTCTGGGTTAGGCATAAATRCARTTACARAAATGAATGGAAGTCATTACAAAGTCCTAAGTTTGATGCAAACACAAGGATGTGTGTGTGGGCGTGCGCGCGTGTTTTACGGTTTGGCTCTGACCTTTTTTCGTGCAGTTATGATTTCATGACATCTTAAATTACACGCTATATTCATGTTTGGTGCGCTTATAAAATCAAAACAAAAACTGGTCCCACCTTTTAAATCAGATTCTAAAAATTCCTTTTTTTAAAAYTGTCGGATCAGGAGAGGAGTTCTCAGAGGTAATAAAATATTTAACTGAAGTAGCTGGAACAGCTTGTCTGATGCTGTTTCTGACCTGCGATTTTATTTGAGTGAACTAAAAAAGGGCCCCTACACACACGAGCACGCATGCATGCACAGAGCATTAAGGGGATGATTCATGTTTAAACTTCACGAGCTTATTAACACAATATTTATGAGCTGACAGCCTCAGACACAGTCATGCCACCTGCGTTTTTATTTTATTTTATTTTACTTCATTTTATTTTTTATATTTTCATGTCATAATCTTAGTCCAACCTGCTTTTCGGGTTCATTATGTTGCTGAGTGCGGCTCTGTTTGCAATAATCTGCCACTTTAGACAGACCATCAATCATCAGTGAAGACAAGCGGCACTCTGGCGCCATCTTGTGGTAGAAAGGAAAATTACTCCAGTTTTCACTGAACTTTTCTGCTGAATAAATTTAAACACATTAGTTAGTTATTTTGTTCGTAATTACAAGATCATAATTGGATTGTTTGTTTTTCTCCATGCATTTTCTTTAACCATTTTTCTGTGCAGGGTCACGGAGGTCACCAATTTAAAATAACTTGAGCTGTGAACCAACTGACAGACTAACCTGTATTAAAACATATTAATAATACCTCTGACAGGTCAAATTRTTTTAACAGCCCAAACTAAAATGCATTACAGACAATCTCTAAATGTAATTCATTGTAATATAAACTAATTATGTATCCTTTATGAAAAACCAAAACAAATTTCTATTTATGCTTGTTTCATGRTTTATTTGATTGAAGAACATGCATTTTCATAATCATACAGGTATTTTACTTTTTCTTTTTGAGGTGGTTTGTTTATCTGTTTACTCTTATCAAGTAGAACTACCGGTGAAAATGAGACTGCAGTTAAATCTGCCATTTTAATATGAGGCGCTCGTTTTGATTAATAATGGGAAACAAACAAAGCAGAAACACAACAGAAGCTGTCATATTGCAGTGAAACAACATACAATTAACTGTATTTAATTGCAGCAGCAGAATTTTGTTTAAGAAGCTAAAAGACCACATCCTAAACAAACAAAAACTAAAGTCACATTTTAAACATTAACTATAGTTTGACTTTGTAACACCTGAGACTTTGAACAAAGAGAAAGAAAAAAATCAGCATAGTAAAAAAAAAATACAAACACTGTAGAAGTGATTTAGAGGTCAGAGAGGGTGAGCCTGTAATCAGAAAGTTGTTGATTCATCTCTCCGAACTGACAACAAAAATTTGGGTGGGGAAACCCTCATTTTCCCCACTCTGAGCCCTTGAGCAAGGCTCTTACCCCACCAGCTGCTCCCCGGGTGTAAAYGTCAGCTCTCTGCTCCACGTCTGCAGAGCTACACAGAGAGGTCATTTCCCACTGAGGGACAATTAAGATTATTACAGTTTTTCTCAGTTGCTTTGCTACATTTCTCAGATCAGAAATGAAATTCTCAGTCTTTTAATCGTTGAGTCACTTGTTCACATCAAAACAACAGTTTCTCATTTCAAGTTGTAATGGCTTTGGTACAAATGATTCTGTACAGTTCTCTGCTGTTTCCTATGTTATCAGTTGCTTTTGTCATGTTGATCAAAATACATTTAATGTGTCTCGGTTGAATAATCTCATCCCTCACAACATTTAGACTTTACATGTAAAATGTTTGAACAAACAGTTCGATACACCCCCATCAGAGCTTTTTCTAAATCTGTTCTGAATCAGTAAATTACCTCCAGGTGAATTCTGACTTTTTTTTCATACAATACAGAACATCTTGTCACCTTTTTAGACCCTCTCTAAAGGGCTCTCCTCCCTGAACAGGAGAGGGGTCAGGAGAGGACTTGTCAAAGAAGGAGATAGTTTGGGACGATGTTAGTTTCCATCGCTCCAACATCATCAGGGTTGTGAGTTATTTATCTCAGCATGGAGATGGAAATATGATTTCCAACCACACAAAGATGACCCTTCTGGCTGAAATGGATGCAGCGTGTGATGACATCACAGCAGGCTGGAAACAAAGCTCTAAAAGATTCTTTCCACTCTGCATTGCAAGAGAAGATATTTGTTGGGATGTGGAGGAGAATTTGTGGCTCAACAGACAGAAAGTTCAGTCTGCTCTGTAGTTCCTACAGAACTGTTCACAATTATCCTTACAGAGATTGTCCAACAGTATATCACATTTCTCCTTTTTTGGTTTTGTTTCTTTGTTGTCTGCAGTACTTCTTTTCCTTTCTGTATCACAGTGACATGTCAACAAATTACAGTACAAACAATAAAAAAATACATGAAATAAGGATTTTGAACAAGAAACTGGGTTTTGGATGTAATCCATGATGTGCTGTTTGGACAAATTGTTTTGAGAAATGCACTTATTGTTCAGCAAATGTCGAAAATGATTCAAGCTATCAAAGCAACTGAGAAAAACTGTAAACTGAAACAAAAGGTAAAATACTTATTTTTCAACAGCAGAGGGCGCTCTGACATTAGCTATGATTTTTAAAATCTTTTTCACAGAAACTTTTCATGACTTTACCAACTCATTCACGACTATTTATTTGTTCATATTTAAGTTCACAGTTAACTCAACCATCTTCTTATTTCTGCAGAGATTTTAGCTCGATTCAGTTTGTTGAGGAAGAGTAACACATTGAACTTCAGCAAAGGTTTCTGAAGTTGGTTAGTGGTTTGTTGTCCTCAGTTTTTGTGTCTTAACTCAGAACAATTAAACATGGATGAACAACAAAACGGGAAATTCCATTATTATTATTATTGTTAATATTTTATTGTAGCTGGCTGCAGTTCGTCTGCTGTGTTGACCTGAGGATGGAGATAATTTACCATCAGTGTTAAAGTGGGC